TCAGGAAAATCTATTTATTGAAATGCTATTCGTAATTACTGACCTAGCGTCGTAGGAAAGTAAGTTAAAATATTGTTTAATATGAAACAAAGCGGATCGTTTTCTGCACCCAAAATATCCCTGACTACAAATTTTTACTAAAATTTTAAAAAAGGTTTTCTTTTTCTCAATTTTTTGTTTTCCAAATACCGCGCCAATTTTTTCAATCGTCACAAAATTTGTGATAACTTTGAAATCACTCGATGGCCAAAAACCAATTGACAGTTTAATAGAAGATAAGTTCAGCTTCCATCTCTTGCAATAACTTTGAACTTTGATAAAATCCAACGTGGTTATGAATTATTAAGTGGTACACAGGACACGTTGGCTAATCAAGTCTGAAAAGTCTCATTTTTGCTATAAAAATTCGTATTTAAAAACTTCGAACAGTGCTTAAAACTAATATTAATTGGGTTTTTCAAAAACAGTTATTTTAAATCGAAAAAGGTAGGAAACTTCTTTAAAATAAGTTTTAAGTACTGGAAAGTATTTTCGTTTTTGGCTCTTTTTATGTACTTATTCTCATTTAATACGATCTGTTTACGATTTTTTTGGTGCTTACGAAAAACTCAAAAACTTTCTGTCTGGTTAGGGCTTTATTTTGGCATGTTCTGTATTGGTAGGACCGATAGATCCCTTGGTCCGATATGGACTGAACTCTTTTTGTAATTTATTAAAGCAAAAAGGTAACTGGGAAACCCATTCCGGCTGGAAAGTATTAAAGACTAGTAACAAATGAATGGTTCTTTTTCCCTTCTCAAAAGGGCTTCTGATTAATTGGCATTAGTTTTAAAACCTCCTGTAAATAACTTTTCTTGGCTGTTTAAAGCTTATGCGTTTGTAAAGATCTATTTCTGCTTAGATTGCCTTCTTGGGTTGAACAATAAATTTCAGAATTCGTTTAAATGAATAAAGCTCACGGCACTTGGTAACCGTTCCATTTTAACATATTTTGTATGCTACATGGTACCACCATAGAATCAATTATCAATGGTATACAGGACAAATTTCCTTACACATTCTATGAATAAATCTACATCAGTTTTCCTAAAAAGGCCATAAAATAAATCTATACAAATGTTTTGTTCAACTCGAAATGTGACGAATTTTAGTTAAAACAGTCGCGATTTTTTCCAGTTTTACATAATCCTGAAAAAATATAAACAAATATTAACACCTGGCAGTGGAGCGTCGGTAGCGGCAACGGTTTAGGTGTTGACACAGAGCTCATCACTGCAAGGTAAAAAGGTCCCTGGGTTCAAATGCAGGGCCGCTGGATCTTCGGTAATCGAAGGTGATGGCTTTCTGAATTCGAGAGCCCTCTGGTTCAGAAAAGTGTTTTTTTCAAAAGGAATAGAACCGCATTCGAACCCGACATACTTACAAATGGGCTTTTTTTCAAAAACACCGGCACCCTGGGGTTGAAATGACCTCTGCTGTTGCGAAGCATCGTTAAAAAAAATGAATAAATAAATAAAATAAAATAAAACCTGGCAGACCTCTTGGGGATTTGAGGAGTGATGAACCTGTATTTTCGTCTGCTTATCCTCTGTTTTGGTCTGTCAAACGCAGACCTAAACTGAAGATTACGAGAGCGAAAACTTGTCTAACTTACAAAGCCGGCTAGGGTAGTCTGAACGAAATGACCGGTAATGACCTAATCACAGGCTCGTCACTCTACAGACCACATGGAGAAATCTCACAAACTCTTCTGTTACACTTCTACTTCAGATATTGGTTAGGTTTTAAATAATTTTTATTTATAAATAAACATTTTACAAGTGATATAAAGTAATATTAACGATCGGGGATAAGGCCAGCTGGCCTTAAATTATACTATTGAAGGCTGATATTAATTATATATGATGTGTGATAGAAAGTAGGTCTATTGGAAAAATCAAACATAAGCCTTGTGTAACCAAGACACAAAACATGAAATTCGTCATGGAACAAGGACCATACGTCAGGGAATTGAATCTGAAACGATCTGGCACTGTTACCTAATATTTGACGGGGTAGTATTGAGTTGTACTCCCAATAATATCCTGATCGCCCCTGAGTAAACCACAAAACGTTTTTTCAATACTTTTTAAAAGGATAGTTCCTACTCACAGTAAGTTGTTTTGCAACGTCCGGATTTCGAGCCTTTTAGCTCATCATCAGGTTGAAGGACTTCTACAACCACGTCTCTCGACATGAATTGCCAAAGTGAACCGCTGATACCTCCGCCAAATTGAACACCACACTCACTCCATCATTTATAATTTCTAAACGTTTATTCGTCTTGCTCCAAATATGCGTGCGTGCGTGCGTGCGTATATATATAAGTTATATACGAGTATAAACATTGTGTTAAATAAATAATGTGATGACAATGCTAGGATGCAGGTGTTGCTCCTAGAATTGTCATCAGTACTCTCTCCCACTCTAGAAATTTCATAAGGATTTTCATTTTAATAAACGTTAGTCTTAAGCCAGATTTCCCGAAAGCATATCGACGAGATTTGATTTAGATTCATAAAGTTCTGAATGTATATCAGTAACTTATTTGTAATTTCTTTGAATAAAAGTTTTTAAAAACACGTTCGTCCAAAGAAATTATTTAACTGGCGCAGTGGGCTTGACATTGTCGAAAGTTATAATCGAGTAACTTTCCGTTTCAACGGTTAATCGGCAATCGGACAATCAACGATCGGTGAAGAGTTCAACGCATATGAACTTTCCTCCCGGACAACGGCATCGAACTTCTAGACTCTCAGAACCAGCGAATATGGTTGTAGGAGCTCTCGTTTTTATGTAAGAAATACTTAAAATAATCTAATTTAAATTAAAAAACGAAAATTTTTACGCATTGTTAACAAATATCCAAAATGGCTCTCCCAGAATTTAAAAGAGAATTTCTGGACATGGTCCCGGAATTCAATGGAGACCCAACCGTTCTTACGCGATTCTTAGACATATCGCAAAAATTAGTTAACACATTTGTAGACACTAACCACCCTAATAATTTCCAAAATGTATACCTGCTTTCATGCTTAAGAAATAAGATAAAAGGTCCTGCAGCTCAAGTGATTGAAAATAGTAATGTATCAAACTGGGCAGATTTAAAAACTGCATTGTTAGAGGGATACGCCGACAAAAGGGACGCATTCACTCTCCAGATTGAAATCTCTAGACTAACACAACAAAACGAAACACCGTATGAGTTCTATCAACGAGTACAAAACCTTTTAAACTTACAAATAGCGTATTTTAAAAACCATAATCCCCTTCAATCCAACACTTTAATTGATTATGCGAGAGGCGTCGCACTCCGTGTCTTACTAAGAGGTCTAAAAGAACCCCTAGGCTCACTTATGTGGACTAGGAATCCAAGTAATTTTACAGAAGCATTAAATATCCTTACGAACGATTTTCAGTTCTTGAAAACTTTTCAGGAACCAGACAATTATCCTTCAAGGAAACCTCGATTTCAACCACCTATTAGACACCCAGCAAGATTCCCCAATCAATATCCTAATTTCCATCAAAACACAAAATCTAACACACAAAACTCACAAAACACCATGTTCGCCCCGCGAATTCAAGCCGCGAACGGACGTGACATCAAACCGACACCCATGTCGATACAAAGTAGACAATCGTTCAAAGAACCCAATAATTTTTTCACGCAGCAAAATTCAAAATTCGGTCAACACCGTCCGAATTACACGGTAGAAGAAATTCATCACTTAAATAACCAGACAACCGCCACAGAAAATTCACAACACCAAAATCAATCGAGCTTAGAACCTATGGATCATTTTTTAGAAAACANTGTAATTGTTATATGTAAACAATGTTTGTAAATCCCAGGCCCTGAAGATGATCTCAATAAAGATCGAAACGTTGGCACGATAAAGAAAATGTTTTTCTGAAGCCTACATCACACCAGACCGCATCTCACTATTTCTAAATAAATTTTATCTCTGATGGAGTAACAACTTTGGATTTAAGGGATGGGGTATGTGAGGTAGTCCTGGATTTTTCATTAGAAGTATTATTTGTGTTAGAATTGGAGGTGTATAACACACTTATAAATTCACAATAAGTTTTAAAAGTTGAAATGTTGCACTAGTTTAAATCTTAAATTCCATTCTTTACATGTTTACTGAGCAAACGATTTCATTTTGATAATTTATCGAGCTAGTAGGTAAAGTAGCATTTGCGTTTCTCTAAATACCAAATTATAACTGATCAACAATTGTAAAATTTAGTTAAACTTGAAATTTTTTTTGAAAACTTAAAACTTAATAAACCAGTGGAAACTTAAGAAATGAGCTAAAATTGGGAGGCCATTAAGCGCAGCTGTAATGGTATCAAGTGAAAACCAAAAAATTCAAACCTAAACTCTAAACCATTGTATTCGTACAGTTTATGCCCCAGCCAAGTTTATCAAAGGAAAATCTCCCCTGAATAATGCCCCTGTAAACAAACACTAAAAACAAAAATAGTTTCATCAAAACTAAAAACATATTTGACAAGAATGATAGTAGAAAGAGTAATAAAAGAAATATCAACATACATTTGATATCACATTCACCTACCATCATCATTACACGCATTAATATAATAAGGTTAAATTTTTAAAAGTTGTATAGTATGTTTGTTGTTTATACTAATAGCTACCACTTGCTTACAATTATGCTGTATTCTAGCATCATAGAACTTTTATCAGTATTTGATAATAAGTTATTAGATATTAGAAGAACAAAGTTTCAAAAGCTTTCTGTTTTTCTCTGATGTGTATTTTTGTTAATTACAGCCTTTCCACTGTATTTAACTTTCAAAAACTCTCATGGACAACATAGACCAGTTCAAGTGTAAACAGTTCAAACAGCAACTTGTTATTAATGCTTTTATTATTGATAGAAAGGACTAGTCTCGTACTAGCTGCTGTTCCACTTCAGTTAGTACCAAGGTGTCGATATTCTGGTGTTCAGATGGGAACTGTAAAAACAGAACTCACTTTTGAGGATTTGACAGGTTTCCGGGCCCTACCGATCCAGATGTCTCTTGTAAAATTGATCTCACTCATGCCCAATTCGTTAAATAAAATTACTAAATTCATAATTGATATATTGCTTATATTATACTTGATTGCTGGTACTATCCAAACTTACAGTATCTTTGGTGGATGGAAGGAGGCATACAATCAAAAGGTTGATATCTACACCATTTAAAACCATTAACTTTTGATAGTAAATTATATTTGATGTTCTCTGCTTTGCTCTGTGGTTTTCTTATCTTGTCATTTAGGATGTGAATAAAGACTTATTATTTCACTAGATTCCCCATCCCAACATAAAGCAACCCTCTACCTCAGAGCTTTGTCAGTCAAGGATAAAATTATATGTATAGTAAATACACAAACTTTACACATAATAAAAGCATACACATTTAAAACCAAATTAGTTCGATTAGCATTCAAATCTACCCAAGATTACTAGATTTTCCTCAAGGTGATTGGGAAAGGAGCCCATTCTCATCAATACATAACGTTCACAGATCAAATTTCATTCATGCTGTCCCAGAGTGCTTCATATTTCTTTAGGTGATTGAGGAAGAAGCCCATTCATGCTAATAAATGACATTCGGATAAAACTTCATTCACACTGCCCCAGTTTGCTAAATATTGCGTGTGTAATTGGGGAAGAAGCCAATTCAAGCTAATAAATTACATTCTCCAGATCATACTTCATTCACACTAGCCAGGAGTACATGCTATTTCTTTGGGCGATTGGGGAAGTAGCCCATTTACCCACCATACCCATAAATTGGGAGCGAAGCCCATTCACGCTAATAAATACATTCACAGACCAGACTTCATTCACACTACCCCAGATTCATTTACACTACCCTCAGAGTACTTGATATTCCTTTGGGTGATTGGGGAAGAAGCCTATTCATGCTTCTTTGCCATTCATGAGACTTCATTCACATTGCCCCAGATTACTACTATATCACAAGGAAATTGAGAAATAAGCCAATTCACCCTAATAAATTACATTCACACTCCAAACTTAAATCACACTGCCCAAGATTGCTAGATATTCCTTCACGTAATTAGGAAAGAAAAGCCAATTCACTCTAATAAATTACATTCACATATCATATTGTACTTCATTCACACTACCCCAGATAACTCAATATTCCTCAGGTTGATTTGGGAATGAGCCAATTCAAGCTAATAAATTGCAATCCCAGACGAGACTTCATTCACAGATACAAAGTACTAGATAGTCCTCAGATTGTAAAAAAAAATAAGCATTCCATTATTTTGAACCTCATTATTTAAATGTATTTCTGACAGTCACACATTTCAAAGTTTAATTTGATCTTTTGTTTTAGCATTTCCTTAAGGTTTCCAACTCTATAAACTACACAGTTCTTTTTATTGATCTACTTCAAAAAATCACCCTCTTGAGGTTCAACACATCTGCGATAGAAACACTTGGAAATTGGGCAAAAAAAGTAAAAATAAGGATCGGAAATAATGAAACCAATCTAATAGTGAGTTATTTTATCCATGTGTTACTCAATACAATTTTAATTTTATGTAATAAACCTTTTTATTTCAGAAAGTTGTCAAAATTGTCAACAAATTTCATTCTGTGACAAGTAACATTGCAGCACTATTTTGGGCATTTTACCCACTGATCACAGGCAAAACTATATTGCCACTTAAATATCCATTTTTAAGTCAGTTTTTATCAACAATTTCCTTTCCCGTGGAGGTTTGTGTTTAATTTAAACTTTTTTAGATTTTATATTACTTCTAAAAATAAATAATTTTCAGTTCATTATTTATACCGGCTTTAGTACAGTCATCTCCTATGGCGCTGCGGTTTTTCTCTACGCTCTTGCTCTATTCAGTACAGAAATTCACAGATTAGCAGACGACTGGGCCAGCCTAACTTACGATAGTAAACAGCCTCAATTGTATCGACAACAGTTCAAATTACTTGTAGAAAGACATGTTGAACTTCTTAAGTAAGTTATTCAATTACAGCATAAACCAGAATGTAGTTTTGGTAACCTCTGGTAAGATTTAGATAGGATTTACTTGAGTTAATATTCTCCGGAGGCATATGTATAGACGCGGAGTGGCAGAAACAAGCCTGTGCAATAATGCCAAGAAGGAACAGCGATCCTCTGTTGGTGCGAAGGCCTATGTAGGCTGATTCCTAATCCTGAGAGAGGAAAAGCCAGGGGCTGAAGTATACACACGAGAGCCATAGAAAAAGCTTTGGGGGGCTGGTAAAAAGCCTTAAGCTTAATGAGGAGCTCTAGATAAAAATATGGAGATGCACAATAGACCTACACTGGTCGTGGTGTGCAGGTCATAAAAAGGCCAGCTCCTGTATAACTAATCTAATCTAGATTAATATTTCACAATTTTAAAATCGAGATAAAATACAAGTGTAATAGTGATTATACTGACAGTATATAAGTACGTGTATACATACACACATGTGCAGAGTTGAATCTATCTCTTCTCTCAGGTCCCCAGCAATTGTTTTTGTGTGATTTGCAATAAATTATCAGCATGTTTTGGGAAACACCCACCCTGAGCAGTCTGGGGTCAGACGTCGTTGTACAGCTACCGAGATTGGGCTCCAGGTGCTATCAACATGCTAGGTCATTTCAGCTCCCAACGTCCATAAATCCACTCACTCTCAAATACATTTCTTATTTACATACACTCAGTTAGGTGGTGGAGTTATCGATATTGCTCCATCACCCTTTACATCTATTATATAACTAACCTAATTGAGGGTCGATGGGTAAATATTCTTATACTTTTATGCTAATAAATACATTCACTCTAACACACAGTAGAGGGCATAAAAATATCAGATATACCATAAATCAACCCTGTTTCTGGCAAGATTCGGAACAGAGGACCCACATAGATTCTCATATTGGGTGGCATTACTATGCGCTTCCTATATGGAGGCAAGGAATAGCACCTTTCTAGGTGGGACACTTCAAGCAACCTTTCTCTGCTTGCGGGACACATACAGCTTTGGGTCAAAAGTAAGTGTCCATGTGTCAATATCACATAGCCTATCCTTAAACGGGTGCGGCTACCCATCGACACTCTTGATGTATGAAATACTAATTAATTGTAAAGAAATATTTTGCAATAGAAATTGGCTTAGAATTCAAATAAAAATATGTGTTATTGTGGTTGTATTTGTATTGTTGCAATCTGTTGTTTTGGTCTGTCAAACCTATTTGGCATTATGTGATATTCATTGAATCTGTTTGTACGGAAATCCAAAGCAAACCCAACAAAATTAAGCACACCAGGTTGTTCAGAGATGACCAAATAATAAATTATCTTAGGATTAATAATTAGATAGAGAGACACATGTCTTTATTATTTACTGTACATAATAGTGTTGTAAACTATTTATAAATAATTATTCTTTTTATCTAGTCTCAGTTGAGATTAAAAAGTTAGCGTCACGAGCGGGATTTGAACCCACAACCTTCTAATGAATGAAGTCATGATAGCTCAAGTGGTTAGAGAAGTGGTGTATTGGGCCGAAGGTCATGGGTTCGAATCCTGCTTGGGACACTAACTTTTCATCTCAACCAAGGCCTTAGATAAAAAGAATCATTAGTTGAAATAATTAATATGGTCAATTATGACCACTAAACATATATGGACTATTTAGAAAGGTAAAGACATGCATTACCACTGGTCGGGCAAACAGTTGCATGTAGGATTAATAATTATACAATCCCTTTTTCAGAGTTTTAGTTAATATCAAAAAGTTGCATGAAGGTGCATTTGGTTTTCAAATTATCATAACTATGTTATTGATATTCACCGGTACTTTTGGAATTATAAAGGTAACAATAAATTCTAATACCAAAATAATTATATGATTATAGTATACTTGTTGTTAACAGCTCGATGATGATGCAGTTACACTCATTATAATAACAACTCCGTTTGGGGTCCTGACGACCAGTGAATTTTTCTTGATGTGTTGGATCGGCGTTCAAATTACAGACGGTGTACGTTTAATGAGCATGTAAGAACCAAGTTTCTGGATATCATATTGGCCCCTATTTTCAGTTTTCGAGTATTCACCAAAAATTGTACTTCACCAATTGGTATGATACCCCTGCGAACGACAAGCTCAGTTTACAGATTGTTATGGAGTTTTCTAAGAAGCCGATTATTTTGACTGGAGTTAAAATATATACTGCTTCATTGACTACTTTTGGAAATGTAAGATTCAATGCATTATAATAATTAACATATAAAAACATTAATTTTTTTATATTTTAGGTTATGAAAGAAACATTTTCATTGTACACTGTACTCAAAGCCCTCATGGGTTAATGCTACAACTTACATTTAACAACATGGCAGTCTGCAAATTTTAAACATACATATTTGGAGATATTAATAACTTAACTAGTTTTGCACGGTAGCCACCATTTTTTTAATAATAATTATTTTTTAATGCACTTTTAGTTATTAATTATGTGTATGGTCAGATCTATGTTGTAGGATGAGTTTGTGAGATCTACCTTTCAGGTCAATGGAAAAGAGAAAAGATCTCAGATTTCTATTGTTTTCTGTAGCTGATACATTAATTGCTAGATAATTGCTTAAATAGAACAATGATTGTTTATTTGAGATTGCCTTTGCCTTTTTTTAACCTTGCATTTTGAAACTTATACGTTCACAGTTGAAAAGTTCTACCTAATTCTGTTTCAACAACAAATAAGTTTTAATTATACAATAAAAATTATTTTATAAGTCAAATATGCGCTTTACAGTACAGACTCACATCTGCAAGGGTCCTGGATTCAAATCTCAGCAGCCCTGAATTCAAACCTGATGTACTTTCCAATAGGATTTGGAAGCATTAAATTAAGCATTTTTAATGCATAATCATAAACGTTTTTCTCTTCTCTTATACAACAAAAACTGCTGTTCAGTCAAAAAATGTAACAAAAATACACTTTCAATACTGCACTTTAATTTTTGAGCAACAATTATAGTTTATGTGATGGATGAGTTAGCTGCACTTTTTGCTCTAGAGTTCAGGAAAGAAAAAAATATTGATTATACGAGTATGCTTGTTTTATTATTATTATTTTATGTGTGTGTAAAATAAACATTACGGCATGGTAAAGTGTCTGCTAGAAGTTCAGGTCTCAGAGTAATTTTATAAAAAGAAATAAAATAAAAAGTACGTAAACAGCATATCCAAACTGTATTTAAATTAAAATTTAAAAAATTGAACATGAAAACAGTTCATGAACATTCGTAGCTTGATACTTCGCCCTCATATTGTTCATCAGAACACAAAATGAAGAATATTCATTGGCTCAGAAGAACAACTTTGTGCAAGGTGTTTTTTTAATGGCCTAATGAACAGAGTACATACATCTTTGTTTCATCATTATAAACAATGTGTTGTTGAGGGAAGGGTAGCATGACAAAAAAGGCCAGGAGCAGCAGCGGGAATCGAACCCACGACGTGGGGTCTACAAACTGAGTCTATCATGCTGACCATTTGGTTGCCACGGTCGTCTAAACAAGTTAGCTGTATTTTCTCCTCTGGGGGTTCAAGAAGAAGGAGAAAAATATATTTTTTTCTTTATCCAATCAAGTATCTGATTTTATTATGCAATAAAATGGTATAAATGTGAAAAATATGTTCAGTCAACTCCCATCATTTTACTTAATTAAATTTTATGGTTGACAATTTTTATTTAACATTTCTTTCTAATTTACTTTTTTTATTTGATACTAATAACTTATTATTAATATGAGACAAAAAATTTATTTGCTAGATAATTGAGCAGCATAATAGCATGTGAGTGCTCTCCCTCATCATTCTTGCAGCCAAACTGTCATGTAACTAAATATTTCATGTGGGAGGGTGTTTCATGGTAGGGTAAATATGAACTACAATTTTCTGAATGCAGAATATGACTATTTATTTTTTAAAAAGGTACAAACTGTTAATCAGACAGAATACAAGATACGAATAAAATTTGAACTCATTAATTTATATTTTCTCTATCACAGACTGTTCTTTCTTTTGTTTAGGCCCTTTGTCATTTTCCTTCAGGCTCATTTCTTGCATATCTGTCAAATCATCGTTTTCCTCACAAACCTGTGTTGGGGGAGCAAGTGGTGAAATTTCTTCTGGCCTGATTACCAAATTTTGTGAATACTCATCTCTTGGTCTCGGGTGGGGTCTGAAGGATGTGGATACAACAGATGATTCCTTAACAGAAAAAAAAAAAAATTAAAATAGCCTAAAACTAAAAGTTAATTTACTAACTGTGTGTATGGTGCTTGCAATCGTGAATAATTCAACAGGAACGTGATGCCACTGTGAAGGTATATGAGCCATTGGACCACCGGGAGCATAAGCATGATGGCCAAAATGGTCCAGGGTATTTGTGCCCAAGACACCGTCACCTACTTCCATAATGCCAATTTGCGTAGTCCTGACATGGTACGGGAAGTTTTTATTCGCTCTGTTCGGGACAGTCAATACCTAAAATGTACAAATTTGGAACATTATCGAGTTTGGTTTTTTTGGAAGAAAAATTACTTACCAAGAATAGTAAGTGCCCAGCAAGTGCTACAAAGTGGTTCAGTGCACAGACAACACTCTCTCTCACCCATTTGTCAATCAATGTGTTTGCTGTCAAGATGAAAGCTGGGCCAGTCACAAACCTAATTTTAAAAATCCTTCACATTTTGTCATGCTTTTATGGTTAATTACCAATTTTATTTATTATTATTGCCACTGTAAGCCGGTCCCTCTTAGCGTAAGTTAGGAACATTTGTTACTATAAGTTAAAAATCTTTGTAAAGAATTTCAAACATAGTTAGAAATAAGCTGTAAATCTAATGAGTTGCCCACCGAGTAGGGAGCAAAGAGGCATTTCCCACAAACCTGGTAGTCTCATACCAGCACGATAGATGAATAGTCCCACTAAATAACAAAAATCAAGGAGTTATTTAGTGTGGAAAGGTTGTCACATACCCATTTGTGGAACACCATAAATTTGGAGTCATATTAGCCACGTGGGCACTGTACTGGAAGTCCATTGACATGGGACTAGTGATGGCGTAACAGAAACCCCTGAGAATTACAAGTTATTGCTTGGAAAAAGAAAGTGGGCCATCTAGCCCAATAGTTTTGCTTTTCCTTTCCATTCTTACCCAAGTTGGGAAACTGGTATAAAAGGGGATGATTTGAAAAGCAAAGATGGTGAGCTGGAGGCAACATCCAAGAGACACAACATCGACTGTCCAGGGCCAAGAAGAGTTGAATAGAGTTGGCTGTTGAAAGAGTGGCCTGATGCAGAACACTCAGTGGCTCACTCAGTCAGAGTTGGGAACTTAGTAAAAGCTCACAATGAACAAGAGGAGTCAACAGGGAGACTCGATTGATTCAAGAACTCAGTCAGGGACTCTGCGAGAGGACGCAGTCAACGTGAGGAGACAGTCAAGAACAGTCAACCTAAGGACTCAGTCAACCAGAGGACAGTCACCCGATTACTCAGTCAAGACCAATCAACCCAAGGACTAAATGAATGAGAAAAGTCAACATGGAGACTCAGTCAGCGAGAGGAGTCAGTCAATCAAGGACTCAGTTAACCCAAGGACTCCGTCAAGACCAGTCAACCCAAGGATTAAGTCAAGTGGTGGACTCTGTCAAGCAGCCGCACTCTGTTGGAAGCTCAGCGAGAGGACACAGTCAATCTGAATGCTCAGTCAAGACCATTCAATTCAATGAGTCAGTGCATGAGTGGAGTCAACAGCAGCCACAGTGAAGTGGAGGACTCAGTCTAGCAGCCACATTCTCAGCCAGCAAGAGCCAGCAAGGACTGTCGAGGAATCAGGAAGCTGGTGTTAGTGAGCATCATTTGGGCTAAGCCCTCTTATGAAAAAACTCATCCCGAGAATTGAGTTCGAGAATTGACTCGCCTTGTTTGTACATAGGAGCTGACCTCTTTATGACCTATATACCATGACCAGTATTCGTTTGACTGTTGGTCTGTTATAATCGGCCCAGTGTGAAAATAAATGTTTCTGAATACTATATCTCTGGTTTAGTTATTTTTTATGTTTTTTTATGTGCTTTATGTTCTCTTATCACTTAGCTATTTTACTATTGTCATTCAATCTTTAAATTAGAAAAAATGTCTAGTTTTAATTTGTTTTACTGGTTATTTGGCTAATATACACATTTACCAAAATATAATTTTTTTTTACCACATAGTGCCGACCAAATTAAAGGGGTAATAAAATGCGCCCTTCTCTGGGTAGTGTTTAAGAGTGAAAACAGTTGAATAAACAAACATCCACCATGCAATAATTCTTAGAGCGATTAAACCATATCCAGCAGGTGATTCATATAGATATAGCACTTCTCCAGGATCGAAAAACTAAAAAAAAGTATATTAAAAAAAACATGTTTTAATTTAATTACAAGTACTAACCAATTTTTCATAAACAAACATAGTTATGAATGTAACAACATATAGACATATGAAAATTGTTAGTTTCACTGTTGATGCCATACGTAGTCGGCCTCGGGTAATTGTATAGCCTTTTGCCATCAAAAGGAGCACAACTAAAAACAATACTTCACTCGCGGATTCCGACAGCCTTCCTGAGGGAAAAGAAATTTGCATTAAAAAAACATTATTATGTTAAAGTTTAAGATTTTACCTAAAGTTTTTAACTTGGGCAGACCAATGCCATCAAATGCAAACCGGATGTAAGCGATAATCTGCAGAAAAATCCCGAGTGTTTGCAAATAAACAGAAAATGCATAGACTTTGTAGGTTGAATGCAGCATTTGCCTCGATTTAAGCTCCACTAGAAATTTCAAATTAATTTAATTGTTAGAAATTCAACATAATTGTATAATTTTATTTACTCGAGCACATGACCACAGCAAGGATGAGCAGCATGTAAATTACAAAGTAGCTCATAAGCATTGGCAGGATATCTGGAAAAAAATTCCTAATCACTTGACTGTAATTCACATTTTATGACAAGAAACATACAGAATTCATCAGCAGAGAAATGTTCGTGCCAATAGTCATCGGGTGGGCCATTAGTCATCAAAAACCTGTAGTACAAATCCAATCCCTAGCACAAAAATAAATTCAAGTAGATATAAAGTTAGAAAAAAAGTTGAAATTTAAATAGGACTATTATTCCAAGAATATCTCTCTAAGAAATATATAACCAAAAGTAAATCATTAGAATCTTGCGGCCTACAAATGTCTGTGGAAACTGTCTTAGTATGTTATGAATGGCATTTGCATGAGGCCATGTCCTCTGCACTTGACCCTGAATTCAAGTGGAGCCCAGCTCATCTCAAGTCCATCCCATTTTTCCAGCATTTTCCAGAGACGGATTGAATAAGGTACAAGTTTGGAGATATCTCATGTCACCAGTTAGGAGAATTTTTCATTCTAGATGCGTTCTATTATTATTGCTTATATTTTTTGTAATTTTTAGGATATTGTTAATAAACATAGAGTAGTCAACTAGTTCTTAACAAAAGAAATCCTTGATGAACGGTATAAAGTAGAAATTTGGAGATATCTCAAGTCAACAGTTAGGAGACTTTCTCTTTTTAGGGGCGTTCCATTCTCATTACTTTTATTTTTAGTAATTGTTAGGATATCATTATTTAATATGGAGTAGTTATCTAGTTTGTAACAAAAGAAATAGTTGACGGATGAAATGAGGTAGAAATTTGGAGATATCTCATGTCACCAGTTAGGAGAATTTCTCTTTTTACGCGCGTTCCATTCTCATTACTTTTATTTTTTGAAATTTTTAGGATATTGTTATTGAACATAGAGTAGTCTACTAGTCTGTAACAAAAGAAATCATTGACGGTTGGAATATAGATGAAATTTGAAGATACCGCAAGTCATCAGGTAAGTGAATTTCTATTTTTAGGTGCGTTCCATTATTATTGCTTATATTTTTTGTAATTTTTAGGATATCATTATTGAACATAGAGTAGTTATCTAGTTTGTTACAAAAGAAATACTTGATGGATGGAATAAAGGTGAAATTTGAAGATACCGCATGTCATCAGTTATGAGAATTTCATTTTTTAGGAGCGATCCACTATTATTACCATATATTTTATCAGTTTTAACATATTTTTATTAAACTTAGAGTAGTCATCTAGTTCTTAGCAAAAGACATCCTTGATGAATGGAATAAAGTAGAAATTTGGAGATATCTCAAGTCAACAGTTAGGAGACTTTCCCTTTTTAGGGGCGTTCCATTCTCATTACTTTTATTTTTAGTAATTTTTAGGATATCATTATTTAATATGGAGTAGTCAACTAGTTTGTAACAAAAGAAATCATTGACGGATGGAAAAAAGTGAAATTTGAAGATATCGCAAGTCACTAGTTAAGCGAACTTCTCATCCCAGATGCTTTCCAGTATTATTGCCATATATTTTGTCATTTTTACTACATTTTTATTAAACTTGGAGTATTCAACTAGTGCATAACCAAAGAAATCATTGACAAATGAAGTAAAGTTGAAATATGAAGATACCACAATTCAGCAGTTATGAGAATTTCTCTTTTTCAATGCGTTCTATAATTATTACCATATTTTTTTTAAATTTTTAGTACATTTTTATTAAATTTGGAGTAATTAACTAGTTTGTAACAAAAAAAATCCTTGACGAATGGAATAAAGAAAAAAATTGATGATACCGCAAGTCACCAGTTAGGAGAATTTTCCATTTTTTTATGCTCTCCATTATTATTATTACCATATTTATTTTCATTTTTATGATATATTTATTAAACTTAGACTACACAACTAATTCCTAACAAAGGGATTGCTTGACGAATGACGAGAGATCGAGATGAAATCAGATCGAGGAATCAATGTTTCACTGAGGCCATGGGATTTCACACTGCCACCATGAAAATCAATTTTCACCAGCTCCCACTCCATCCACATTAACAGATAAGCTGAAGATAGAACATCTTCATTATTGAAATGATCAACATTGCACCATACGAACAGCTTTTGAGATCTTGTTAAATTAGGCCGCTGGCTCGAGGATGTTTGATGATGTCGGTACGTTGTATTTTAATTGAAACTTTCTTTCATTGTTTTAGATTTATTTTTAAGTAATAATTTTATTTCTTTTCAAGGAAACTTACCTTGGAAGAATTACAGTTGCTGACTGCAAGAAACCACCACCTTTCCCTTGCGCTTCGAAAAGTTCTGGCTTGATTGCATTGCACCACAATGGATGTATTCGTCTTTCTTTCCCGACACCCAGAGCCTAAATCAGACTGGGTCAGAGGAATTATTTGATTCAACTTTCTATCGAGGACGGCTTCTTTTTGCTCACAAGTCTACGGATACAAATGATTTGAGAAAATTCAAATAAAATAACTTACCTCTCATTAAAATATGTAAACTTGAACGTTACAACTGAGAATTTAATTTGCGCACATTTTAAATCAAAAGACGAGATGTTTTTATACAAACCTTGTTAGATTTGTAAACCGCTGTCCATTGAGTGTCAGAATCATGATACAATAGTAAGTTTTGTACACTAAATTCCTGCAAATGTTTAAGAGAAAATAGTTAAAAACAACACATTCTCTTTTAGTAATAATTTAAATTTTATATCTGAATTATATAATAACGTGGACTTACTTTGTTGTATTGAATTGAATATTCAAATGTGCCTTCCCTCGATAAAAAACAAAATCTTGCAATGAATGCCCATTTCTAAAAATAGTAAATCAAAAGTTTGAAATGGAACTACACTTAAAAATGTTAATAACCAAAGAGTGTTCTACCAAAAGTCTACCAGAACATTTATTATTAACTAATCTCTTATTTAAAAAAATTCTAAATATATCTATAAAAAATATAGTAAGTTATAATATAATAATAAGTTCAATTCTGCAGACATAAGTTCTGAATTGCATTTATGGCCTTCTTCTTGTCCGACCTACCACTGAAATCCACTCCAGGGACTGTCGACAGCTAAGCCATTTCAGCCCCCAGTTGTTAAAGCTTGACACTCTCATACATTATTTCCTATTTGCATAACTTTTGAAGAGAATAAAGTACTCAATAATCCTTCAGCACACTTTACACTACTTTACAACTAAATTGTGGGACGATGGGATTTACTCTAATAAACACTTACATATACACAAAAAGAAACCCAAAACTACATATCTACAATGTACTGTATACAAAACAATAGCCCTATTTCCATTTAAAAAAATGGGAATAGGGATCCTAAAAACTCTACCATATGAAAAGAAAAAAAAAAGCATATCTTCTTGTAAGTTTTAAATACTTAGTTTGATAGAGATATGGCAGGGTAGACGATCTTGCTAACAAAATCATCCCGGACGTTGAAGTCGCTCATCCCTGATAGTATACATTAAGCTTTTTCAATTTTTTTTTCCAGGCTGAGAGGCTATGCAACCAATGCAGACTGAATAAAACGTGGTAAAACAGCAAGAACTGAAGGGAAGTAGAAAAGAAGAAATACCAATAAATGAGCATATCTTCAGAAAGTCGTTTCATTCATCTTTATCTGCCCATGCAGCAGTTTTGGCTTGGGTGTGTTTCGGCTTCTCAGCCGTTATTAATTTTATAATAATTTCGGTTAAAACCCACTATTGAAGACGGGGATGTCAAAACGCATCTGACAGAGCAAAACTATGATGATCCCCAAAATATCCAGAAAAGACCAAACTACAGATTTCGTCAACACACCCTCACGATTTTTGGATGCAAATGTACCAAAAAATAAAAGCAGAGAGTTTTGAGAGACCATTAATACTACATACACAAAATACCTAAATTTTTGAACAAAAAATATACTCTCCACTTACCAAAACTTGTTAGATTAGAGAGACATTAAGATTAGCAAGAAGCCACTGTAGTTTCTTCTCATATTATTAAATTGTGTTGTATAATGAAATTAGTATCACAGAAAAGTTTGTGATGAAACACTAATTTTATAATTTAAAAAAATTCAAGTCATGTTTGACATTCACTGTAAATACACCTACAAGAAATCCCAATAATGAAAATTATGAGTGGTAAAAGGTAGTCAGACAGTTGACAGTACCTTTATTCAAGTTACATTTGAATTGATTATTTAATAACTGTATCGTTCTGATGGAACCTCATTGTTTATAATAAGTGATTTAGAATTACCTCAAATGTTTTAATCCGGCCTTCTTCATACTTAGACCAAGAAGAGCTGATGAGCAGAGTTGTGATCAGTAACACAAACAAAACATTCATAATTCATTTATGCACTTGGACGGATTGTTTTGAAAAATTCCATTGGGAATTGAACATTTGAACTGAGTGAAAACGACAAATGTTTGTTATTGACTCCCCTCGCCTAGGCAACCAGACCCAAACAGAGATCCTTGCCCCCAAACCTTGCCAATCATAATCTTAGGCCCCCATCAATAAATCATTTCAAGAGAACACGTTAGCTATTAAAATAAATATGGACTGACTATCAATATTCTGAGGTGTCCTAACACAAAAGTTTTGATTAATCTATTTCAGTTTATTTTTGGAAATGTAAAAAACAAAGTATTAAGAGGAAACTGGGCTGTTTTATTAAATAGTTCTATATAAATATTTCGCTTTAGGTATTTTTTGTATATTATTGAGAGTGAATGTATATATTAGTGTGACTGTGTGAAAGGATGGAGCATACAGAGTACCTCTTAGCAGCATCCAAAGATCCCTCTTCCCTACTTTCTTGATTCTTCTGTTTTCATATATTTTATTTAACAGACTAATATGGTTGCCATGGTCAATCAGGTTGGAAAAAAACTGAAGAATCTCGAGCTTCTGAGGATCTTCGCTTACAATAACCCTAATCATTTTGCTTCCCTTTGTTAACACCCAGTTCTTGCTGCCTTATGTAATGATGGTTTTAATAATTGTTTTGTAGACAATGCGTTTTGCTGCCCAAGATGGTTCCTTAAATTGCAAAAACTTATTTAGAGCAGACACCTTCTTCTCTTCGTGCTTTAATTTTGGTATTTATGTCACCAATGCATCTAGGTAGTTAAAACTTTTGCAGCCAAAGATTCTTTTGTCCTATCCTTTTTCCTTGAGTCTTGTTCTTTTCATAAGCATTGTTTTATTCAGACTAATGTTGCATGGCATAACAGCCAGGAAAAAATGGAAAAGTTTGATAGATACTATCAGATCTGGGCAACCGGCACTGTCATGGGTCCTTCAGGCTGTACTCATCTGGGATGATTTTAACACAAAACAGAATTAGCCAAGTCATCTACCTAGCCTTTACCAAGCTAAGTTTTGAAAATTTAGATTGTGGTATGCAGGTTTTTCAATTTGGTGGCGTAAAATTACCATCAGCAATATAATATTGCAGCAAGAATCTGGATTCCCTTTCCGATTTTTGGAGGAAACATGGCTGTTTTATTGCACATAGTGTGATATCTTTTGTGTTTTAATGAGTGAATGTATTTATTAGTGCGAATTTAGTATGCCTGAAAAACAGTCTGAGGTTGAAAAACAATTTGGAGATGATTGATATTTACCACCAGTGCTGGGAAACTAGCTCCGCACTGGGTCTTCAGGCCATACTTGTCCAAAATCCCCTAACCAACTCAATGGGGGAGTAGATTCCTCGCACACCACCACTAGTGTTCCGACCCCCAGAGGTGGTACCGACTTGTTCCACTTGTACCGAACCTGAAGCTCGTGCAAATAATCGCTCTTCCACCGTTTCCAGAATGATTGCACCATTTGATCCACCAATTGCCATCTGGTCAGGCAATTCATTGCCACGTCCGTTATGTCCACCGCCGGTAATGACTTAAGCGGGGTGTAGTTAAAAAAAATGGGTTGGTCTGCTGGTGTCAACACCAGCAGCACCGAGGGGGTCCTTGCTTAGGGGACACAAGGGGCAGCAGTTCAAGAGGGCTTCAATTTGAATCAGTAACGTGTTCAGTTCTTCATAAGTCAAAAGTTGTTCCCCAACAATACGGAAAAAGTGGGACTTTAACGACTTTATATTGGCCTCCCATATCCCCCCCAAATGAGGCGCATGTGGAGGATTGAATTTCCAATTTATCCTAAACTCACTCAACTCATGACTCCATTTCTAACGGAACTCTTGATTTCCATGCAGCTCGCGCAGATCGTTTAACTGTATCTCAGCACCAACGAAGTTTGTTCCGCAGTCAGAATACATGACTGAGCAAGCTCCCCGGCGAGCTAAAAAACGCTTAAAGGTGGCCAAAACATTGCACTAGATAAATTCGACACCAATTCCAAATGTATAGCTTTCGTAGCCAGACAGGACCTTTTCCGTTATTGTGCCTCTGCCCTACTCAACCGCTAAGATCTCTCTCCTGTCACTTAAGGAAATGCTCCTTTAATGTAAATCATAAATACTGAAACATTTTATTGTAGGTAATTCTTATAATAATAATTAAGAATATAAATTGGTAGTAAAGGAAATCACATTCGAGTCCCTGCGGGACATTCTCATTGTTGTACATGACTGCCGCCATATAAATTCGCATAGATAGGAATCAAATAAACTTTGGCAGGTACCCCACTGCCATTTGTTCCTTGCCTTTGCTTTTTCGCATACACTTTCAATGGACTGGGTATGTGCACGGGTGGTCGGGTCGACAAAATTGAGAGGGTGGTTCATTGTCATATGTTGGATCCTGGGATGTTTCATATGCTTTCCACAGATCGGAAATGATGACAAACCCAGCAGCGATCTGATCATGAATTATGGGGATGAGAGTGGCAGCTGATCTGTCCACAACAGCGACTAGAAAACATTCTCTCATTTCGTGGCAAATGCCACCAAAAACCCATCTGTGCATCAATAGAATTATAGATATTTTATCTGTGGTAAGATTCTCCCGGTGTTTGATTTTCCAGCACGAAAACAGTGATTCATCAATTTCCAAAGTGCAATTGGGCCCACCAATGCACGAATGTTTGAGCAAAATAGAATTCATATAAACTTTATGAATGTAGTTGCACCAATCGGCGAACGTGTTACGCTTTATCTCTTTCACAAAATTTAACATTTACCATTTCGTATGCCCAAGCATATACGAACAGCACAGTGGTCAAATGTGGCAGTCTTGAGCCAATCAGATGTGTTACTTCTTAACGCCATTTCTGCCTTGCACCCACGTTTGTAGCACCTTCACTTGCGATCCTGTCAAATGCATGCAGCTGCCCGTCATGTCCTCCTGTACATCGCACAGCTAGTGGAAGACGCACTTTTCCTAAAGGAAATGAACTGCCATTTCCTTACTTTTGACAGCGTCGTATAATGCAAGAAAGTTCATTTTTCTTTTATCACCAAACTCTTTGACAACTGGTATACAATATAATAGACCAATACATACAATTACAGTACAATGCATACAATACAATGGTATACATCCCTCTAATACTCGCTCAATTATTGCAACCAAGTACTCTCGCATTCAAAATTTAACTTCCTAATCCCTACTACTCACTCAAAGTGTCTGTTTTCTGTGTAGACACACAATAATGACACATCTACTCAGAAAACAAACTCTTTGAGTGTGTACAAATGCTTTGATTGAGTTTAAAATTTCTTGCATCGTATAAATTCATTTTTTCACATTCTACATGTATTTGTATAATTAAAACATTGTTTATAAATCCCAGGCCCTGAAGATGATCTCAACAAAGATGAAACGGCAAGTGGGACCTCCCCCCCCAATTCTTAAAATCCCTTCATCTAAAAATGGGACTAAACGCTGAAGATTTAGTGAACAACAACTTTGTTTTTTCAGGTGTTCGATTTCGGATGAGAAATACTGGCTTTGAATAATTTTATAAAGCGTCAGTTCGGCTTTGTCGCAATCTGACGCTGTAATCAGGACCTGTTTTGGAAGTAATTGCACTAAATAGACCATACTATTTAATAATTTTTGAAATGACGAGAACCTTTGGGTAAATTGAATAAACATGTTTTCGGGTTGAACTTGTGTCTGTAGTGCAAGCTTCTTCCTTTGTTCAAGACAATCTTCTTTAAATGAAAACGGGGTGATGGGCCATTGCGATACATTCTTTAATAACTAACCAGGTCCATGAAACCAATATGGATGATTGTACAATTCTTGAGGAGTTAAACCTTGCAAAAGACAATCGGCTGGGTTTTTCAACGTTAGACTGAATTTTTCCTACTCGATTGGCAACAAATGTGTTCGGGTTGGACTCCAAATTAAGCCAACAGAGAACAACTGTCAAATTAGAAAACGCAAATATTTCAGGTTTTAGATTCCTTTTTGTGAACGTTTCCATGACGACAGAACAATTTGGACAAAAGCAAGGCGGCATACAATTCGAGTCGGGGTATAGATTTGCCCCTTGGTTGGGGCAACTTTGACCTTTCCACACACAAACGAGACATATGGTTTATGGGCTTCCCCTTTCAAATAAATTACTGCACCGTATCCGTTTTCGGAGGCATCACAAAACCCATATAAGGCCAACCCAGTATTCCTCTGGATACCTAGGATGGTATTCGGACCTCAGCTAGTTGGACCAACTCAGCCTGCACGTGTTTCCACTTCAAGGTTACTTTGGGGGATGGGGGGGTTGGTCCCAGTCAGCCCCCTATTGCCATAATTGTTTAATTAACCCCCCTTCAAATAGATGGTAACAGGGGATAAAAAACCTAAGAGCAACTGTCAAAAGTATATTTCGCTTTGTACAAGACCGAGGCTCCAATTTGGGACTCCCAATTTTTGGAAATCAGGGCCATTTTATTTATGGTAGTACTTGGTGGATATTGTATTTTGTGAAATTGAGTGTGAATGTATTTATTACAGTGAATCCCCATCGACCTTCCATTAGATTAGGTATATAGTATGTTTAAAGAATAATAGAAGAATGTTGAGCACTACAGTACCCAAATTGAGTGAAGTATGTTTTTGTAAGGATTGTATGTAATTAAGAGTGAGTGGGTTTAGATTTAAAAACTGATGTATTTAGGGCTGAAATAATCTAGCTGTTGATAGCCCCAGGAGCCCAACTTCACCAATGAGATGGATAAGTCCGAGAGGTCATAAATTTTGTACACGCTGTTGAACGTATATAAATCAGTTTAAAAAAATTAACAAGTATGATTCAGGAAAAACCAGGAAATACAAAAGCTGATCAATGTATATCAATATATATTTTATACAATAAAAATTGGAAACAATAATAAGCTGATATGAATTGATTAATACTTCTAACAATTTAGCAATGAAAAAAGAGTAGAACAGCAATTTCATTGAGACAAAAATACCATATGAAATCAGACGAAAACAATGTCAAAATTTTAAGTATATATTTATCAGTGGATTTACCTTTTCTCCTAGCAAATACAACAGAACAATTACTTAAACGTTTAGTAAACAGGAAGGCTAGACAATACGCAGATTTCATCCACAGTATTACCCGATATATCTTACTATACACTTTTAAAATTTATACATTTTTTAGAAACACAGAAAGCTTAGAACATTGAGTGCTTTAAACTTGGGCCACATCGACGAGAAATAAACACCATCGAAAGTAATCAGAGGCAGGTATACAAAAGAGAAATTAACATAAAGTATAATTTTCGTAAATTCTCAAATATAATCTATTTACAAAAATAATTTCTCGCATCGTTTATTTTTCATCTTTCCAACCTGTATTCGATATTCTGTCACCTTGGCCAATTGAAAGCCCAACTCATTAAATATACTGAATAAATGTACTTTTCCTCTTATATTATATTTCAAGGATAGCAAACACGGGTATGAATGGAACTATGTGGCGATTTCACAACTGATACATAAAAAACAAAAAAAAATTAAAAAAAAAAAAAAAACAATTTTTATTGCTAACATATAATTGATATTTGTGATCATAAATATACATTTTTTTTAAATATTACATCTTAAATAATAACAACTATTTTTGGTGGCAAGAAGGCTGGCATTTTCAATTGTAATAAATATATTCTGTCATTTGAAAAAAAAAAAAAAAAATCATCTTTTTAATCGTTAATTATATAGAAAATAACTTATTTTCTTCAAAAACACCGATCTTTAGTTGCACAAGTCAACATTCAACAAATTGAGCAGAAAATCATTTATTGATTTCATAATAATTTTAAGTTATCGTTGTGCATATGAAAAGGGTAAAATTTATAGTTATGAACAAACAGGATTTTTTTTATTGATTCCAACCTAGATTTGTTTCTATTTGACATATTCAATTGTTTAAATTAGTTTTGTTCTGATAAATTAATTTGTACATTTAAGAATGGTAAATGTGGAGGAATTATTGAATGGACGGAGGAATTAACTCATTTCATACAGAAGCTAGATTGGAATCAAATATTAAAAACCATTTGACTTGATTTCAACTCATTTATCAGCTGTAAGACTAGCACCAATTATTACTTAACCAGAGAAATTGAAAAGAGAAAAATTCAAATATATCAAATTAATATGTTACAAATGTTATTTACAAAGAGTTTACAACAATATACAACTAAAACAAACTAAATAATTTCCAATAAATTGAATTAATCATATAAAGACAGTCTGGGGGTTCTATAAAAATTTAAATAAACATATATTAACAAGGGTACTCAATTCACAGTTCTCAAGTCTTATTCTCTTTAAAGAAAGACATCAGTGTTACTTTGAACCGCCGACAGTTAAAACATAAATTGAACAATAGGGGTAAAAAATGTTCTCGTATCCAATGATTATTTAGCCTTCACATTTTCTGAATTCCTTATATCAAAGCATATACAATTTTGACATTGAACAAATATAAAAGCTTATTTTATTTAATTAAAAAAATCCAGTAAATAAAAAAGGGCCAAGGATGACACAAAGCTGGTACATTTTAGTTTTCTATCCCAGCAAATATATATATATTTTAGGGTATTAATTTAAAAGATAATCTATTCACTCTTATCCCCCCTTTAAATTATAATATTAACTAAATAAATCTTATCACCCAATTCAATTCGATAATTGAACAAAATAATCACATAATAAATTCCACATTGCATCAACTTCAAATAGCCCTCACAATTAACTAATTATTTGGAGAAGGGACGATAATTTTACTTTAAATCAGTAATGGTGCTTTACTTGTAATGAATGGGTTTTTGTCAAAGAAAAAAAAATTCTATCAACACTATTTTTAAAGCATAAATGTATCAGTTTTATGTAATTATATAATTTAGTGGAATGCTTTTTATATTACTAGACTACCATTAAGAAAATAAAGTTATTGAAATTTTTTTTATATTTATTTTGTATATATATTCCTCTCTCCTTATATATTAATAATATATCATAAAACAAACTTCAACATAATATTTTTTTTCTTTTGAGCGAAATTGAATTAGCTATTATACAATTTAGGTTTTGGTGTACTTATAAGTGTACTAATAAAAGGGATCTAATTTTTTAATTAATAAATTCTTTTTCTCATCCGTCATTATTATCTAGTATAACATAAAAAAATAATACCATAAAAAATCATAGTCCTGTACTCAGCATCATTGGTATTGTAAATATGGTCAATAGTGCATATAGTAAACAGGGAAAAAAATCTGTTGCGTGAAGCACTTTATCGCAATTTATCTGTTTAAGAACTGGATAATGCACACGTCGAACCGGCGCTCGGTTCATCTTTGGATTTCTTCTCTGATGATGGCGCAAAGCCAAAACGCATTGAGTGTCAATGAAACACGCGAGTGTAGATGGTGACTCCAGTGCCAGTTTATTGATCAATAAATAAAATTGATATAATACCAATAAATATACTGCCGATGCATTTATGTTTTAAATTGAACCGTTGTGTCAGTTTTAAATGAACCAAACTCAAATCACAGCCGCAATAAATATAGACCACCATTTATATTGAAAAAAAAGTTGAGTCATAACCAATTTAAAGCCCAGTTAAAACAGATAAATTCATCAAAAACAAATTCTGTACACTAAGAAACATTTATGCAATTTAATGCTTGTTCCATTTTTTTCCCAATTACACATATGTACAGATTTTAGGACTACAGTAAAATATTCTAAGCTATATAGGATATAACTTTTATAGACAAATATATATATACGATACACAATAAAAATAGCTTCGTAAACATCGATTATTGATTCAAAATATAAATTATGTTCTATAGAAACGGATCAGATTATTTATTTACTTTTAGTACTAATTAATTTTTAAAAAGATTTTTTTCTCATGGCACTCAAAACCTATATCGCATTTAACCATACCGGGTAAATTTGTCGGCATTAATAAATTGTACTAGATCAATAATAGCACTTAAAACCGTCCCCCTATTACATAACCATATTTATTTGTACATTGAAAGCATTTTCATTCAAGTTAAAATCACAATGACAACACTTACATAAAAGTATGCGTGTGTTTTTATTTCATAATATGTAAAATATTTTTCAACCGGTAGTTAATCTTCATCCTATGGGACTCTGATCATAAACTGAAAATTCAAAATCACATAAAATTCACCTATCTAATTTTTATAGTCTTGTTTGAAATGAGAAAATTTCTCCTCTTTTTCACCATTTCCTAAATCTTGAGGTAGAATAATTTCAAAACCAGCCTCTAACTAAAATTTGCATACCATACATTCAAACTCAACCTATGAAAATGACTACATAAGTGAAATTTACTTTTTTTTCCATCTTAAATTATTCAATAACTTTTTTTTCTGTTGTGGTCGGTTGGTGAGTAGTTTGATCTGATGCTGAAGAATTTGGCTGAGGGATGAAGGACAGAATTATCACCGATGAGCAATGTTGACCAGAAAAACTGCCAATGGCAGTAGCAAAAGGCAGAGTAAACTATTGACCCTATGACCCGTACTGGTCTCAGTACACTTACCTACAATCATAAATTATTCACATAAAAAACATACCACAAACAATTCCATATAAATTGGATTAATGTCCAAAAAGGAAAAAATAATTAATAATGGTTCAAACATTACAATAGTATTCATAAAATAATAATTTAGTCAACATGTTCCATTAAATGAAACTATGCCTTTAATATCCTCATTAAACCTCCTTAATACTTAAAAGATAGAATAACACAATTTTAGCAGATTGGCTGTGTTCTATGCTTGGCCATTTTATTTGCTCTCATCAGAACCCAATTTATCATGTAAAGTAGTTTTTTGGTACTTAAAAATAATGTAAATTTTTTAAAATTTTATTACACAGAATAAATGAACTTACAGATGAAAAAAATTAAAATGACCGTAGCCAGTGATACTTATACCTCTTTCTGAGGTAGCCTTTGTGTAGGGGTGAATTGGAGTGGAGGGACTTATATTACGTAAAATATAAATTTATTTACCTATTTCAGTAAGATTGAACGACCATTCTGCATGTTTGAGAGGTGTGGCACAAGTTTCCACAAGCCTTTGGAGTACGATTGGCCCTCCAGGAGTTGTCTGGGTGAACACAAAGCAGTAATGCCTTGCATCGGTTGAATGCCTGCTTATTGGTGAGCCCACGACATATGTAGTTAAATTCTCTCGCCAGCTGCCATGGCATGAATAAGCTAAAAAGTTTAATAGTTAAAAATACATCCAAATGTAATGCGCTGTCACAAAATACTTACACGTTGGAGGAACTGTTCTGCAATTGGAGTGAAACTCCATGACATCGTTCATTGGACTGCAGCCGATGGCAAGAGAGACGAGTGATGTCTGTTGGCCACATTCCTGATCGATTTGATCAGCAGGTTCTCCTGGCATTATTGGGTTGGAAAGTAATGGAGCGTACCTTCCTTCCATTGGACAGCGGTTGGAAGGCAAGCTGGCACCTGGAAAATCAATGTGATTTTAACCATTTTTCTTGATCTACAAGCTAAAAACTAAAACTTTGAAAAATACTTACTTGATTGCTTGCTAATTAAAGTAACTGTGTTAGATGAAGAACTTGGCTCTTCACTGGAGCAAGCTGTTGGATCATTAATGTCAACAAGTAATTCTACAATGAAAAAGAATAATAAACATCTTACATGTAATAGAGAAAGTAATGTATACAAACCTGACATTTGCATTTGTATTACTTGAGAATCTCTTTTGTGAATGGTCATGCATTTATAACCACCTTCACTGTAATTAGAACATAAAATTAAACAAAGAAAAACTAAAACAAATGGTGATTAGAACTACAAACCATCCTGAAACGACATGCACAACAATTGCAGCCACGTTATGCTTTTGCGAGATAATTTTGTGGCAGATCAATTTTGTCTCTGTGTCTCTTGATGGAGTTGTGACTCTCAATGAGGCATTTTTATGTGAGAAATGGTAAAAATGGCTATAGTCGAGGCTATGCCAATGATTTCTCTGTATTACCCATGTTGGAAATTTACACCTTGTATGTCCCGTTTCTACAACAAAGTTTATTAGTTTAAAAATACAATAGAAATTTCATCAATTTTTAATATTTTAAAAAAGTTTTAATTACCCCTTCTAAGTTTAACCATCCTGGAACCTCCATCAGATGCTGAAACCATTCCAGCACATGTTGCCTCGCCACTTTGTGAAAATTCATAACCATGGTTTTCCAATTTTCTATATACAAAACATCTGTATCTCTCTTCATCGGTTGTCGCCATCTTGTGGTTCAAACGTCCCACTAAGTAGTGATTTGAACTTTCTTTCCACATGCCAAGACACTCTAGTTCTTCGACTGAAAAAATAAAAATGTCAGTTAAGATAAACTGCTGCAATTTTTCTTCTCCAAATAAATTACCAGTAGCTTCAGTTCCTGGAATGTCAGGACAAGCCTGAAATTTAAATACGAGTTTTGACTCATCAGTGCAAGATTCAACCCTTGAAGGTGGCTCGCCTTCTTCTCCACCACACTCCCCGTGTCCTTTACTGTACACGACCGAAAAAGGAGGTGATTTGAATGGGCAGGGTACTCCAGTGGCGTCGACCCTGAACATTGAAAGGAGAGTAGCATCCCCGTTTATACTATCGCAAAGGTTCTCCAAGGAGCTCTCTTCCATACAGAAAGCTGCGACAAAAACAGATTCAATAAATTAACTACCTGAGATAAAATAATACAAATATATACATACTTTCTTTATATTGTAGTACATTGGTGTGCTTGTTATACATAGCAATGCACCGGTAACATTTTTCCTTCCTAAACAGAAAAATACAATGTTTGAATAGTTATTTGAAAAGCAATGTTGAAGAAGTGCTGAATTTGATAAGTATTCTACAAGATTGAACTATTATATTTAATAAACATATATAATTAGAAACTAGCACTTATCATTATGTTGACCATGAAATAACTGCATAGAATAACCAACATATGCCAAATTAACACTCTCTGTCACACATTCTCACTCACTTTTTATCTCTTTTTCAAGTTCACACTCACTTTCTCATTCTCTTTCAATCTCTCCCTAACTCATTTTCAATTTCATTTGTCTTACTCTTTCTCCATTTCAAACTCTCTTCCTCACTTTCAATCTCTCTCTTTCTCACTTTCGATTTCTCTCTCTTTCACTTTTCTTTCAATCTCTCTCTTTCTCACGTTTTTTCAACTTCTCTCTTTCTCAATTACTTATCATTCTAGCTTACAACCCCTCTATTCTTCCCACTACTAATATTTCTCTTTCGATCTTTTAATGTCTCTCTTACATTATCTCAAACTCTCCTCATCTCTCTTTCAATGTCTCTCTCTCCCCTCTCCTTCTCTCTATCAAACTCCCCTTTTCTCTTTCTCCCTCTCTAAACTGTCCTCTCTCACAAACTCTCCTTCTCTCTTTCAAACTTTCTTCCCCTATCATCACCTCTCTCTCACTCTCTCTCTCTCTCTCACTAACTCTCCTTCTCTTTTTCTCTTTCTCTCTTTTTCTCTCAAACTCTCCTCATATGTCTCTCCCTCTCTCTTTCAGACTTTCCTTAATTTTTACTGACACACCCTTCTGTTTAAAAATTGTGTATTGAAAATAATGAACCTAACAATCCAATATTAAAAAAACAAAACAAAAAGAAACCCAAATTTTATGATTGAAAATAATTTGAGATTGAAAAAGAAAGAAATAAGGAGTGAGAAAGTGAGAGATGAGGACAGTTTGAAAGAAAGATAAGGAGAGTTGTCGTTAACTCTCTCTCTCACTCTCTCCTCATGTCTCTCTCATTATCACTTTTCACTCCTCACCCCTCACTCTATCTCCCAAATTTTCCCCATCTCTCTCGACAACTCTCATCTTTCTTTCAAACATTTCTCATCACTCTCACTAACTCTCCTTCTCTTTCTCTCTCAAACTCTCCTCATTTGTCTCCCTCTCTCTTCCACTTTCCTTAATTTTCACTGACACGCCCTTCTGTTTAAAAATTGTATATAAAAAATAATGAACCTAACAATCCAATATTAAAAAAACGAACAAACAAACAAAAAAAAACGAATTTTATGAATGAAAGATTTAAAATTTGAGATTGAAAAAATTATAAAGAAAACAAAGTGCAATAAAAAACAGAGAGATTGAGAGTGAATGAAAAAGAATGAAATTAAGAGTGAGAAAGTTAAAGATGAGGACTGTTTGACAGAAAGATGAGGAGAGTTCTCTCTCTCTCCCTCTCTCTGACTCTCCTAATCTCTCTTTCTCTCTCTCTCAAATTCTCATCTCTCTCGACAACTCTCCTCATCTTTCTTTCAAACAGTCCTCATCTTTCTCTTTCTCACTTTTAATTTCTTTCTTTTTTACTCTCAATCTCTCTGTTTCTTATCACAGACTCTTTTCTTTATAATTTTTTCAATCTTAAATTTTCAATCACTTGGATTGTTAGGTTCATTATTTTTAATACAGGATTTTTAGACAGAAGGGCGTGTCAGTAAAAACAAAAAGAAGCTTGTATTGCAAAACTAAATATAAAACATGTAAATTTAATAGTTTTTAATTTTTTAAATAATTAAAAGATATATGTAATATAAGCAATAAAACTATAATTGCGTTTATAATGAGTGGGCGTGGGTGCGTGAGGATCAACAAGAAAGTAATTCCTGCTCGCTCTAGGGAGTAAAGAATGATGGAGAGGACCGGCCCTGGAGGGCAGATAAGTGTTGCAAAAGTCAACAGTGGCACTGTTTGCGCGTGAGAGCCTATCACCAAGCAAATACACTGTTTACCTTCGTCCTCATAAATCATCGTTAATTCCCCCGCCCGCGGTTCCGACTAAAGCAGAAACATGGTCAATCCACAAAGCAAGCGAATTCAAAATACCCGATATCGATTCGTTCAACCTACACCTACGACAAACCTATAATATTTTTTTTAAGGAGGACATTCAAAATTATTACTAATCATGATTGAATGAACTGATGAACCGGAAAGAACATCACAGCGAAATGAGGCTGTGTGCAGGGCACGTTGCGTGTTCGACAGAAAGTAAGTGGACAAGACGGATCGGCAACCAACAGGAGAAAAGAAAGAATATCGGGGCAAGAAGAAAATTCAGATCGATCGGGTTGTCGAGGAAGCAAGTGAAACTTGGATGAGCATAGACAAAGACCTCTATACTACACGAATGCCCACTTCACTTTTAACTACATAACTTGCATCAAATAAATATCAACATTGTATTATTAATTAATCTTTTTATGTAAGGTTTTGATTGAAATGAAAAAGTTAGTGTCACGAGCGGGAACCCATCCGAAGGTTGTGGGTTCGAATCCCCCTTTTGACTCTAACTTTTTCGTTTCAACCAATACCTTACATAAAGATTAATTAATTGAAAGAATTTATTTATTCAGTACGATAAGATGTATTAATTAGGGATGGTTAGGGTCACTTAAAGAGCTCTAGTACGGTTGACAGAAACACTGCACTAACAGACGCGAAACACACTGCAAAGTCTAAAAAGCGCATGATCAAATGGTGGCAGACCCCTGAGATAAAAAGAAAGAAAAACAGATCCAAGGAAAAGCCATTGTAAAATTCTAAAGAGTATTAAAATAACTGAGATGGCTATAACGGAACCTGACGAAATTAGAGAAAAACTGAACTTTAACAGACCCTTTCATGTGTGTTATGTAAGATATTTGGAAGATAGGTAACCCCAAGTTTCAGGTTGTGCCCTAATATGTCACCGATCTACCAGAACAAGATTTAAAGTATGCGTAGAGGTATAGGCTAGCAAATCTGGTTCCAAGTATCTTGCAAGCTAAGGTCCATGCCTTCAAACTCTGTGCACAGTAGTCGACAAAGAGAATATAGATGTAGATGTAATATTTCAGGGTGTGGTATACTGCGCCCTTTGAGAGGTATTGTATCCCCCTCGGTGAGTCCTATTTCATCAAGAAACTTGATTAATAGGCCCGGTTTTATTGGTTGAAGCTCTTCTATGGTCACATTGTACACCCCAAAACACTTCCTCCTGCGGGCTAATATAGCTCCGCAGTTTGTTAGTAAGTGTGTTGGTGTCTCTTCTGCTTCCTTGCAGAATCTACATGTGCCATCCTGGATTGTTCCAATTTTCTTTAGATGTCCATTTAATCTAGTGTCCTGTTAGGATTCGCAGTCTGTTCCTGCTTCCTTTGACACAATCTGTGATTTCTTTCTTGCCAAAATTGGTTAGAAGATTCTTGGATTGTCTATGTCCAATAAGTGAATTCCAAAGTTCCCTCATTTTCTTTTTGTCCTTCTGTCTGAGATATTCGTTAATAGTGTGGATTCCTAAGCCACAGAAGGGTTCGGGTCCTATCAGCGGTGTAGCAGCCCCTTTCATTGCAAGGGTGTCCTCTTTCTCGTTGCCTTCTACTCCCATGTGTCCTGGGACCCAGCAGAGGCTGACTTTATTCTGCATACCTAATATATTTAGTTTGGTTTTGCAGTTCAGCACCATCCTTGAACTAATGGTATTTGAGCTTAGTGCTTTGATAGCTGCTTGGCTATCTGACATGATAGCTATAGTCTTGTTTTTGTATCCTTTATTTAGATTGAATTGGATACATCTTTCAATTGCGTGAATCTCAGCTAGGAAGATACTGGTGTGTTTTCCCATGGGTTCTGAGTATTTGGTGCCGGGTCCAAATATTCCTGCTCCCGTACCTTCTTGTGTTCTAGATCCATCTATGTACCAAAGGATGGTGCCATTTTTAAAGGAGTTATTTTCCTCCTAAGAAGAGAATATAAAAGGTGCATAGATTTCATTTCGGACAGTCAAGGGCAGTTAATGCGTACGGTTTTAGCTCCAACCTAGTCTGCGAATACCTAAATTGCCTATTGGCTGGCTCCAGGAGAACAACCCGGTTACCTTGAAGTGGGTTTCCGGAGATGAAGGTATAGAAGGAAACTAACAGGGTACGAAAAAGCCAAAAAAGATGGACAACTAGGCATGCCAGAATCCTACAGAAGAAAGCACACATGAGGCAAACTAACTGTGTAGTTTATGGGTAAAAGGGCCGATCTACATCTTAGCAAAGCCCTTGAACTAAAACTCAACAATTTTCCAAGCTGAAGCTACTCTCAGTCAGGCAGCTATACAGGCACTAAACGCGTATACTTTCAACTCCAAACTTGTTTGAAAGTGTCTCTGCCTGAAGGTGCTAGGACAACTCAACAAGATTACCTTAAAGGGTTCCCGGATATGAAAGTATAAAAGGGATAAACAGGCTGACCAACTAGCCAAAAAGGGGCAGCCCTCTCACCCATGGGACCAAACCCACAACTAAATACACAGGAGTGTGTACTTCAGTTGGAACTGGAAAAATGTCTTGAGAAAGAAAAACTCAATTTGACAAAAGCACAAGGTATGAGGCAAGGCTAAGACATGTTTAAATCTTTCCAAAAGGATGGCGAAGAAACTCTTCTCTTTCCGCAGGCTGGATTTGAGGCTAAGCCTCTATACCGGCCACTGCCCTCTTAACTACCACATAAAGAAGGTGGGAAAAGAAGAGATAAAAACTGTCTATAAAAACCAGAGACATTGGCACACATCCTTTGTGAATATGAGGCGTTATTCTAATTACGGTACAAGTCTTTAGTAAGGCAATTCTCACACCTACAGAGGCAACGAGGAAAGTGCTTGGACTTACAGGAAAAAGTGTAATTTCCAAAGTATGGTTATAATTTATAGAGGTTACACAATAGATCTATAACGGTTGCAGAGTACAGAATGATTTTTAAAATC